ATAGTAGTTGGGCCAGCCTGTGGCATGGTAGCCAAGTCAGCTATATCACACGTGGCCAACTACACAGGTCAAGTTCCAGATCTAGTGGCTTGAAAAACATACCAGGCACATGTGCGTGCATGCTCAAATCCTGAAAGGAGGATGAACTGGAAGAGAAGGATAGGAACGTGATCATTCTTCACGGGGATCAGAGTGCTTTCTTACTTTCCCTCTTTTTCTGTCTCACTGTCTATCTTCAGCAAGCAACACATGCCCTCTGGCAGCAATCAAAAACAAGTAATAGCAACCAAATGTTAGAAGGAATTGGACACCTGTGTTATAAAAGAGACAGATATAGGAACTCAGGATACTAAGGAATAAAGTTTTATGGACTTGATCCTTTAAGCATTTGAACTACTGACTGGTGACAGAAGTTAGTAGGTTTTTTACAAGGAGCAGGGAAATATGGGGCCAGTGAGTAGAAGTGGCAGGGAGACAATAAAAGGAAGAGTCAGACAGTTATGAGTCTTTGGAAGTATATTGCTAGATACAGCAATATAGAATTCTAGCATAGGATGGCCAGTTTTGCTATATGATTGTTAAACTTCTAATAAAGGCTTTTCACAGTACACATCATGCTCTACTCTTTTAGCTCTTGGAAAGCAAAGGCAAGGCCAGCAGGTAGCATGGGCGTTAAAGGGGCTGTATCCCAGATGGCTGGGTGTGCAGTTTGAATCCTGGACCCAGCACCCTGAAGACATGCTGGGTCCCTGTGTATATGTGCCCAATATCCGAGAGGAGAGTAAGAGAGTAGAGGGGAAGGGATTGTAGTGTGGCCATCCCCCATGGAGAGTGATTTCTCTCTCTCCCTCTCTCACTCTCTCTCGCACATGTGCCCTGTAGCAAAAACTAAAAAAAAAAAAGAAAAAGCAAAGGCATTGTTCTGTGAAGTTTTTAAGTTTTTGGTCTTTTCATGTGTTTTGACTTAGCGATATTTATTGATAATAGGTTCAAAATTTTACTTTTGCTTTAGCAAAAGAAAGTGAAGACAAGGAAAACCTTCCCAAAAGGACATCCCCTGGTGGCCTCAAATTTACTTTCTCCCACTCCACCAGTGCTGCTAATGGGACAAACAGTACGAACAGTAAATCTGTAGTGGCTCAGACACCACCACCAAGTTCTAATGGATCCGCATCTAAAACTACAAACTTGGCTACATCAGTTACAGTCACCAAGGTACGTGAAACAGCACCACAGACAAACTTTGCTTTTTCTATCTGTAAAATAATTTCATGTTGGGGCCAGCAGATGGCACAATGGTTACATTGCTGGACTCCCACATAGTTTATCAGGTTTCGAGTCCCAGACCAGTGGCTTAAAACTCATGCTGGGTGTATGTGCATGCATGTCCAGTATCTTGACAGGAGACACACTGGCATGGCCATCCCCTCTGGCTGGTGGGGGTTAGATTTCTCACTCGTTTTTAAGAGGTTTTTGCTACAGGGCATGTGTGCTCGCCAGACAGACAGAGAGAGACACAGAGACAGAAAGCAAGAAATCGCCCCCCCAAAGGGGGGATGGCCACGCCACAATCCCTTCTCCTCCATTCTCCTCTTGGAATCTTGGGCACGCGCACACACACACACACACGCCCAGCGTGAGTTTTAAGCTACCAGGTCCATTACACGAACTGTGGTTGACTCCATGGGAATCCAGCAACATAGCCATTACGCTAACTGCTGGTCCCTTGATTTCTCACTTTCTGTCTCTCTCTCTCTCTGTGTCTCTCTGACAAGCACAGGAAGAAAATTCTTTAAAAAAAAAAAAAAAAAGTACTTGGAACCAACAGTTAGCATGATGGCTATGTCGCTGGACTCCCACATAGTCGACCGCGGTTCGCGTCCCGGACCCGGTGGCTTAGAACTCACGCCGGGCGCGTGTGCGTGCGTGCCCAAGATCCTGAGAGGAGAATGAAGGAGAAGGGATTGCGGTGTGGCCATTCCCCCTGGGGGGTGATTTCTCGCTTTCTGTCTGTCTGTCTGTCTGGCGAGCGCACACGCCCTATAGCAAAAACCTCTTCAAAAAAAATCACTCCAGGCATGTGTGCGTGCATACCCCAGATCCCAGGAGGAAAATGGAGAAGGGACAGTAGCATGGCCATCCCTCCTGGGGGATGATTTCTCACTTTCCCTCTCATCATCTTATCTGTTTCTCTCGTGAATGCACACACCCTATGGCAAAAACCTTAAGAAAAAAAAGGCATATAGGATAACTTCTTGTAAGGGTAGAAGGACAGTAAGAGGGAAATGCCATAAAAGTACAAAGCATTAAGTGCAGGGATGCATCATGTTTGAACATAAAATATTTCAAGTTTGGACTTACTAGTTTAAAAAATATCAGTAATTTTAGTATTGTTGTGATGTAGACTTTTTTTTTCTCTTTCTCTTTATAGGGCATGTGTACTCACCAGAAAGACAGAGACAGAAAGCTAGAAATCACCCTGCAGGGGGGATGGCCACTCCTCAATCCCTTCTCCTCTGGGGATCTTGGGCACGCACACATGCGCCCAGTGTGAATTTAAGCCACTGGGTCCAGGACTTGAACTGTGGTTGACTACATGGGAGTCCAGTGACATAGCCATTACACCAGCTGCTTGTCCCAAAGACATTTCTATTCCTGATCTTTTTTTATGTAATTTTTATTTTCTTCTTCCTGGAAGCATTCAGGGTTTTTATCCCTGTACTCTAAAATTTTATGATGATGCGCTTTGGGCATTCTGTAATTAAACAGTTATTTCCTTCAGTTCTGGAACACTTTCTGCTCTTTCCC